CTTTTTAAAGCATTTTTCTCCTGCCAGTTCGGGCAGTTTCCGGCAGGGGAAAAATGCTTTAAAAAGCTTTTTAAAAAGTTTCATGGATTCTTAACAACCATTTTGTGGTTTGAGGTCTGCAGATCAGATGATGAAAGCACCCAGGGTGTCATGGATGGTGTAAGCTTATTTTTTGCCACAACCACCCAGTAGTTGGTTTAGGAGGATCTGGTGGAAGTTCCTCTGGTTTTGTAGATGGTGCAACTCCTGTGACATTCTCATCTCTGAGGCTTCATTTGAAACTCCACCCAGAAGACCTCCAAGTGCTTCAAAGGGCCAGTTTGGAGTTCCTGTGCTCTGGTTTAACTTGGTCAATTGTTGATGGATTATGTTTTTTATTTGGAGGGGGATGTTAATATGCACAGTTTGGCCTAGAAGGGAGAAATGGGGGTGAGGGTTGAGTGAAAGGGGTAGCAGAGGGATTAGGAAAGTCCATCTTATAATGAGGAGCAGAGGATGACCAATATCCCATCTGCATTATTTGAAAGTTGTCCTACTGTAGAGTCCTCATCTTCCACTCTCAGTTTCTGCTGGTGGCTCCATGTTCCAGTTGTTGTCTGTGAATTGGAGTGTTCTGACCCTCCAGAGTCTAGCTTCAATCTTGCAAGACCAGCCAAGTGGGCTTGCTAATCTCCAGGCAGGTTGATCTGTAGAAGCAGCAGGAAAGCTCCAATTTTGACCTTGTCTTTCAAATACTCATGAAGGCTGCAGGGAGGTTGATGAAACAAAAGTTCTAGCAGGCCAGGTGGGCTGCAAGAGGTGGATGTCCCTTCCTTTCAAGGGAAGGGAGGGCATGCTGGAAAAAAGGATGTCAGAGGGAGCCCTCAACCCATCCAGTCAGGGCAGCCTTAGCTGTGGTCAGAAGCCTCTCTTCTGAGGGAGGGGCCTCCTCACATGCGGTGGGGCAGTTGAGCCAATACTGAAATCAAAGTCAGCATTGTCAACAAAGAACAAAAATTCTCTTTTCTTCCTTCTTTCCTTTTTTCTTTAACTCTCTGGAATCAAAGTAAGTAACTTCGAACCAACCTAAAACATGGCAGAGAGAACAATTAATCAGTGGAAGGACTCGCTTCCAGAAGTTATGGGTGCTCCAACAGTGGAGTTTTAAAAAGAGATTGGACAACCATTTATCTGAGAAGGTAAATGGTAGGGTTTCCTGCTTGAGCAGGGGGTTAGACTAGAAGACTTCCAAAGTTCCTTCCAACTCTGTTATTCTTTTTCAGGCATGCTCTATTTTTAGCAAATTGTTAAGGGGGACGAAGATTTAAGGATAGAGGTGGAGAGTTTAGTTTTAGCACCTAATTCTGGGGTGGGGGGGAGAAGTGAAATAAGAACACCTTTGTCTCTCCCAGGTTTCTTTTGTGTTTCTTTATTGAAGAATTTTGGGGTTTGGGAGGAGGAAGGGGGTCAATGGAGGAAGGGAAAGTTTTTAGGAAGCTCATCCTGAACCTGCCTTGGCATGCAGTGTCTGGTTTCCCAAAACTAGCAAGAGCCAGGAGAGGTTTGCAGTCTCCTAACAGCCTGAGGATCAAGGTGGGAAGCTTCTAAAGCAACTGCCATTTCTCCAAGGTCTTCTCAGAGTATGGAAAATGGGGGCCACTTCCAGGAGGAAATGGGGATCAGGCCCAAGCACTGCAGGGTCCCATTGGGGGCATTATCGAAGGAGGAGAGGCCTCCAGCCAGAGGGGAAGATGTCACCAAACCACCTCTGGATAGAAACAGGACCCCCAACACTTCTGCACCAGAAAGAGAGCTTGATGGGGGTGCAAGGAAGTCAAGAGGAGGCTTGCACCCC